ACTCTCCATCGGCATACTCCGCCGACGGATCCTGAACTACATACGGCCTGATTCTTGGAAACCAGGGATATGTAGGTAGCTCAGAAGCCAGGGCACGGCCTAAACCTCTTCGAGCCATTACGCTCGGTCAAAATTGGCCATCATATCTTTACCCGACAACTCTTTCATCCTTCCCGGGTAAAAAGGGGCAGCTGTTGATACCCATTTTTTCCCTATATATTTTTAATATACAAAATACTTTCAAAATAGCATATGTATGCATATATAAGTATGTCCGAATATTTTATTATTTTTCCTTAATTTTTAAATATTTTTAAACCAATTTATTCCCCTATTTTATTAATAAAAACCCAATGATAATTCCCAAAATTATCATTTTTGGTGATTCATTTATTGGATTCTCATATTTATACTAAAATATAGCTAATATATTCATTGCATATTTTTACGAATTAATTTAGTATTTTTAAAGCTAAATTGCATATAATTAAAATATTAGCCCCTTTTAAGATTTAATTGCATTTATATTTATAAAAATTAAGTCCATTATTTTTAAATTGATAACTATGTGTTACAAATCATTTTAGTACTTTCAATTTATTTCCAGGATTTAATTTACTATTTTTTATAAAATCAATGGGGGAAAATGGCTATTTAAAATCTAGCCAGATTTCATTTCAATTGTAGCCTAAGTCTTCCCCAATTGAACCCAATTGAACCCCAACCCAAATTCAATTTATACCAACCCAAACCCAGTTTCATTAAACCACCCACTTACCAGTTTTAATCTAGGCCGTTGATCATTCAGATCAACGGCCAATAATCACCCTTGCCTTAATTAATTCCAAACTACCCCCCAAACCCTTTCATTTGTTATTATACACCGCCTCTGAATCCCTCATCTCCCAAATCCTCTCTACAGCACCCTCAAACCCTAGCCGCCGCCACCCTAATCCACCCTAATCCATGGCCTTCCGAGGTCATCGTAGACCTATACCAGCCTTCCAAGGCTTCTATATGTTTGGTTCTGTGGTCTTATGACCATACTCTGAAGGGATTTGGTTCAGTCTTTGCTTGATGACCCTTCTCCGGTCATCCCTGACCTTTCTCCGGCCACCCATGGCCATTCGAGTCAGACCTTTGACTCTCCTAATTAGATCGGTAACTTTCAAGGCCTTTCTCGTTGCTTTTTGGGTTCTTCTGAAACCCTAATATCTAAGACCTTTTCGACTTCTTTTAGATCTACCTTCGATCCATGCTTGCCATGAGATTTTAATTATCCTCTCAAAGCTTTTTTAACTTTGCTTTCAAAAAAAAGACTCTTCATATTTTCCGATTAGGGTTTTTCCTTTAAGTTTTTCTTTTCAAAATATTTTCTCTGATTTTAATGTGTTTGTGATTTTACTATGTTGTGTTCATGTTATTCTCCTATCTGAGTTAGCATATTGAAAACCCTAGTTACTTTGGGTTCATTCGAGTTCTGAAACTGTTTGTTAGATAAGTGTTGTCTGGTTAAGTTTTTGTTCGATTTATTTGATTATCATCTTTTAAGCTTGACTATTGTTGAAGGAACCTATGTCTTTGGGTTTGAAATTGTTCGTTTGAATACCTGACTCGACTTGAGGTTCCTTGTTTCGGAATCTCTTTTGTTTATGTGATTCCTCTAATTCTGGGTTTTTACTATCTTTAAAACTCGACTATGCCTGAAACCCTAACTTTTCAAAGGGTTTCTCATCTGTTACTGTGAGACCCATTGCATGCTTTCGATACTCTATTTTTTATTCACTATTGATTCAATGTGACTCGACCTACTGGACTATCATGCTTCGAATGTTTGCTATCTACTAAACTTTGTGCTACTATTGCATGCTGTTTCTTTTGCCAATAAGTTTGGCCTCACATGTGTAGTGTTTGTGCACTCTATTTATATGTTGAGGTTCCTTCTTTGATTGATCTTCAATCTTGGGACGGATTTCAAACTTTTCTTTTGTGAAACTCTAATTTCACTCACCCGTTAAAACTAATTGATTCGTGTCCTTATTTTGCCTTGCTGAATCTTTTTCCCAAAATAAGTGTATTTCTGTACTTAGACTCGATTGCTTACTTAATGTTTTACTATTTCTTTTATGGCAATAATGAGTATGCCTACAAACTGATTTTCTTTCCTTATTTTGAATCTGTTAGCCCCGTTAAACAAGTGATTCCTCAATTAAAGGGGAATCACTTGGTTGATTGATTCTGACTGTTGATTATTTCCATATTTGTATTGAACTGTACTTATTACCTTATTTCTCACATGTTTTAAAAATGCTATAAATACCTTGCACCCCTCTTCTTTCAAACACACCCACACAAGGAATAAAATACTTGAGTTCAGAATACACACTCCAGTAAAATCTCTCTCTCTTTCCTCTGTTGCTACTTGTGTTGCTGCCTTACCTAGCCGATTGAAAGCCAAGGCTAGGTTGTGGAAAGCTTGCTTACTTTTGCTTTCTGCATTTGCATCTTTACTGGTATGTTCTAACTAATTTTTTCAGCATCAACAACAACATGTTTCTTTACTATTTCCTTCACCCTTGTTTGTTTCCTGTGTGTGTTCAATCAAGTTCCATTATTAAGCATGTTGTAATCTGCCCTTTCTATTCTGAATCAATGCTCTCTTATGTATGAATTCTATCAGTCACTTATTATGACTTATGAGTCCTAAACCCCCACATCCCCTATGTGTTTGGTATCTTTGGTTGGTTTGGGGCATGACAGCATTGGACATTGTTGTGTATGACCCAAACCTGATTCCCCAAGATCATAACCTCCATATCCCCTCTATATGTTGTGTTTTCTGGTTAGTTTATGGACATGACAGCACCATCCATTACTGTGCGTGCCCAAACCTGATCCTTGCCTAAGGATATATGCTCCTTGCAATGTATTCCCAAACCCCTGACCCCCTTTTTATGAAAATATTAACTCTATGCTTTACTACTAATATTTTACCATCAGCCTTCTCCCCTCTCCATTCTCCACTCAGTTTTAAATCTCTGCTCCTGCACTTCCACCATATTCTTAGACTAAAGTTTTGCCCCTCTTGTGTGAGCCTTGCCTTGGGACCCATGAGCTCCCTTTAAACTTGCACACATAAGTGTTGGCCCTTCCACACTGCACTCATCTCTATCTGGTTATGCAACTTGAGTGTGAGCACTGCCCGGGGTCCTCGTGAGACCCTTAGGGAACTTTGACACACTCAAGTCTGAGAAAGGCTTTGAAACAATGGCATTTGAGGTGGTTTATTCCATAACTCAGAGAGGAAATCAAGAATCAGGCTTCCTCTGGTTGTAACTTTTTCTTTTATACTTCCTTGATGTAATTCATTATTCAGTGGTAATAATTTGTAATAAACATTGGGGTTGGCTAGTGAAAAGGGCTGGGTAATTATGCATGCTTAAGGGTGGAAATCATGTCTATAAGATCCGTTTTTTTAAATTATACATGTTTAACTCTGCATTTAGATACCATGTCTATAAGATCTGTTTTCACTTAAATTCTGCATGATCTGCATCTAGAGAACCCGCCTATAGGACTTGTCTGAATTTTGCCTACTTAACTCTGCATCTAGAGAACGTGCCTATAGGACTTGTTTGAATTCTGCATGTCTAACTCAGTATTTAGATAATATGCCTATAGGATTCGTCTTAAATTCTGAATGTTATTATCACACTTAGACACCATGTTCTTAGGATCTAAATAGTCAAAATCAGATATCATGTCCATAAGGGTAAGAATCGGTACCTTTTGTTTAGAAAGCATGTCTATAGGAATAAAATGAGCAATATAGATATCCTGCCTATAGGATCTGAAACCAATTTAATATCAGTTCCACTCTGAACCAGTTTTAAACAACCTTCCCCCTTTATTTAACGCGGTTTAGAAAGCATGCCTATAATATTTCCCAATCGTTCGTTTAAAACTGTTATTGCTTGCCCATTGTTGAATCAGTAGTAGATACCATGTTCATAGGATCTCACCCCAAAGATTTAGGCAAGCCTTAGGTGATAATAACAGTAAAAATGAAATCCGCCTTTATTAAGTAGTAATTGCTACAACCAGCAGGCAGGCCTGATTCGGACTTCTTATCTGAGTTATGTAATAAACCGGTCTGCCTCAACAATTGGAACTCCCCTTACCTTAATACTTTAAATTTAGACTCTGATTGTGTTTGAGATATGCTATTTATGTGCTTTGTCTGAGGAGGTATACATGAGCCTCTTATTTGTTTACATGTTTCCCTAATGTGCAGTCCCTATATGTTTTGTATGACGCCATAGCTTTTTCACCTTTTAAAACCTAAAGTCAGCCTAATATCCCTCCCCTTTAGGAATAGTAGTCTTAAACTCCTCCGGGACTGATAGGAAGGGACGGGTAGTAGCATGCAATAGAAGTCGAGACCATTTCGCGCTTTAGTACCTTAACGGGGTGGGAAGGGTAGATATGGATATGATGACCGGTGCGCTAATAGCACGTGTATCCCCTCTTTATTGAGGAGTATCATACCGGGTATCGCATTGATGTGATCCATATAAATATAAACCTAGAACCCTCCCCCTTTTATTTGCAAACTGCTTTTCAAAACTCTTCTTTTAATTGTTCTTACGAACTCTTACGCGTTTAGATTTAAATCCCTTACTATTTGAGCCTATACTTGTCCATTTGCTAAAATGCACAAATTCACAAGAAACTGTCTGGCCGGGAACCACATTAGTGGATCCTGAGGGGTGCCTAACACCTTCCCCTTAGGATAGTTTCAAGCCATTACCCTATCTCTGGTTATCAAACAAACTTAGAAGTGAACCTTATAGGTGTCCTAATGCACCTTAAATCATTAGGTGGCGACTCTTCAAATGCAAAACCCAGTTCTCAAAAGGAATGAGTTTATCCCATACCAAATGTCATAAACCCGATCTCCCGATTACATAAGAGGGAAAAAAGGGGGCGCGACACTTGTACTACCTTTCCTTAACTTCAGCTATGAGAGATGATTTTGCAGTGTTTTGGAGTACAACTCCACCATCGTCTGAAGCCAATCGATGATTCTCTCTAGTTAATTGTCTTTTCTCAGCCTCTACATGTGCTAAGCTACCCATAGATCGGCGACTTAAGGCATATGCTACAACATTATCTTTCCCTGGATGGTAGAGAATGTTAACATCGTAATCTTTCAATAACTCAAGCCATCACCTATATTGCAAATTCAACTCTTTTTGCTTGAAGATATATTGCAGGCTTTTATGATTTGTGAATACATCAACATGAACACCATATAAATAATGTCACCATATCTTAAGTGCATGGACAACCGCAGCTAACTCGAGGTCGTGGGTCGGATAATTCGTCTCGTGCTTTCTTAACTACCTTAAAGCATGCGCAATTACCTTCCCATGTTGCATCAGGACACATCCTAACCCGACACCTGAGGCATCACAATACACGGCATAACCATTTGGACCCTCTGGAAGTATTAGAACTGGCACTGAGGTCAGCCTATTCTTAAGCTCTTGGAAACTCTGCTCGCAAGCCTCCGTCCATTGAAACTTAGTTTCTTTTCGCGTCAACTCGTCAATGGCTCCGAAAGGGAAGAAAAACCCTCTGCGAACCTCCAACAGTATCATGTTAAGCCCAGAAAGCTACGAACCTCTATGGGAGTGGTAGGTCTAGGCCAAGATTTCATGACCTCAATCTTCTGAGTGTCTACCTTTATACCTTCATCGGATACAATATTCCCCAAGAATTCTACAGACTTCAACCAGAACTCACATTTAGAAAACCTAGCAAACAATTTACGATCACGGAGGGTTTGGAGTACCGCTCGCAGGTGGTCCGCATGCTCATCCTTCGAACGGGAATAAACTAGAATATTATCAATAAATACTACCATGAACAGATCTTAAAATGGTCGGAATAGACTATTCATCAAGTCCATAAATACATCAGGTGCATTCGTCAACCCGAAGGACATCACAAGGAACTCGAAGTGGAAATATCGGGTCTTAACGGCTGTCTTCAGAATATCTTTCTCCTGAACTCTGACCTGGTGGTACCCCGACCTCAAATCTATCTTTGAAAAGAATCTATCCCCCTGCAATTGATCAAACAAGTCATCGATCCTTGGAAGTAGATACTTATTCTTAATAGTTACCTTGTTCAGCTGCCTATAATCGATACACATCCTCAGCGAGCTGTCTTTCTTCCACACAAACAGTAAAGGTGCACCCCAAGGTGAGGTACTGGGCCTGATGAAACCTTTCTCCAGCAAATCTTTAAACTACTCGTTCAACTCCTTCAATTTGGCAGGTTCCATTCTATACGGAGGGATAGATATTGGTTGAGTTCCTGGAAGCAAATCGATGCTAAAATCAATCTCTCGCTCTGGAGGAATACTTGGAAGCTCATATGGAAACACATCTGTCTACTCTTTGACTACTGGAATAGAGTGAAGTGTAGGTACCTCAGCATCTGCATCTCTAACTTGCACAATATGATAAATGCACCCTTTTGCGATCATTTTCATCACCTTCAAATAGGAAATAAACCTACCTCTGGGTGTCGCTGTATTACCTACCCATTCAAGGATTGGCTCACCCGGAAAATAAAATCTAGCTGTCTTTGCTCGACAATCAACTGTGGCGTAGCAAGCTGCCAACCAGTCCATGCCCATGATAGCATCAAAATCCAACATCTCTAGCTCAACTAGGTCGGCTAAGGTCTAACGACTACAAAATGTCACCGTACAACCTCGGTAAACCCATCTAGCAATAATCGATTCTTTGACTGGTGTAGATACCGCAAAAGGATCACTTAGTATTTCTGGCACTATACTAAACTTCCTCGCAACAAATGGGGTAAGATATGATAAAGTAGATCCTGGGTCTATCAAGGCATAAGCATCGTGAGAGCAAATGGTCAATATACCTGTCACAACGTCTAGTGAAGACTCTTGGTCCTGTCTACCCGCTAAAGCATAGATACAATTCTGGATACCACATGAACTGGAACCTCTACTTCCGCCTCGACCTCTACCAGCCGAAGACTAAGACTCGCACCTTGAATGATGGACGGATATAGATGATCTTGTTGCTGAACTCGCTGGTTGCGCCATACCCCAGAATCTCTATTTGGGAAATCTTGCATCATATGCCCCAGACGCCCACATGTATAACAAGCATCGGAACCGGCTCAGCATTGGCCCAAGTGTCCTATACCACAGATGGGACACCGCGGCGAAAATGACCATGTCTTCCCTGAACCTTGCTGTCGCTGCAAACCCGATGCCTGTAAGCTCTCACCTAGTCCTGACTGAGTATAACGGACATACCTGTAACCTTGTAACTGAGGTGGCGGAGGCCTAGGTGGCCGTCCAAAGTACTGGGACCTATAACTACACTGAGATTGCTCCTGAGACCTGGGAAATCTCATCCTCTTATGCTGCCCTTGTTCAGTCCTATCTGTACTCTACTGTCGAAACCTACCCCTTTCTATAATCTGGGTGAAGTCCTGAATCCGAAATATATCCTTACTATCCTTCAATGCAGTGGTGGCACATGCCTCGGTCAACTTTGAGGCCAACCTGGGTCCAACCCTGCTATAAACCTGTGAATCATGTCCCGCATAGTAGCAATTATGGATGGTGCGTATCTAACCAATAAGTCAATATGAAGAATATACTCTCGAACACTCATATTGCCCTGCTTGAGGGCTTAAAACTAATCGACTCGAGCCTGTCGGATCTCCCGCGGTAAGTACTGGTCAAGGAAGGCATCTGAAAAATTCTCCCAAATAGCTGGAGGTTCATCACGTCCCCTGGACCTCTCCTATCCCTCATACCAAAGGATGGCTATATCTCGGAGTCAAAAAGCTGCTAGCTTAACTGCCTCTTTCTCCGTGGCATGCATAACCCGAAAGATCCTGTGAAGCTTATCTATGAAATCCTGTGGGTCCTCCCTCTTATCTGTCCCCGTGAACTTTTGGGGACTCAAAGCAATAAACTCATGGACCCTTGAACTCCCAGACCCCTCAGAAGATCCTACACTAGCTGATGCCCTAGCCTGTTGCTGGGTAGCTACTAATAGTGTCAACAAAATGCACCGCACTCCTCAAGTCTTGATCCGATGGAAATGGAAGGGGAACTGGATGTGCAGTATCTCTAGCAATCTCCTCAGGTGGTGGAGGAGCTGGTAATGGCTGAGTAGGGGTCTCGCCTTGGGCCTCAGACTAGGCCCCATCTATTGGGGGTGCTCTGCTGGTCCCCTCTCCTGCTGCTATATCTCTCCTCTGGCTAGTGGTCACCGTCATCTGTATATGCAAACACCAACACATAAGTTTAACTCAAATTTCCCATAAATCAGTTCTACAACACGATTTAGATTTGGAAGAAGGGTAACCGACTCCTAAATGCCCTGTAGTCCCTTGCTTATATAATGTTGTGCACAACACATCTATAAACAAGACCCTACTAGACACGACTTGTAGACACCCTAGGACAGAACTACTCTGATACCAAGTTTGTCACGCCCCGAACCTGGGGGACGAGATCGGCACCCGGTGCCTCATCTATCCTTGCGTACCAACTTGCAACTAAGGGACTATGAACACATAATTCATACTTTGTCCATGGGGCCATATTGCAAGACAATTTGTGAAGCAAAATATAAAACTGAATGGAAACTAACACATACTAATTATCAATATAAAGCTGGACTGACAAGAACGTCATAACTACTACAGCTGACAAACCAACAAAATATACATACAAGGCCTATGAGCCCAACATACTGCACTAACTGACAGGATATATCTACAAGCCTCTACTGATGGATGTACTGTGATCAGAACAGGGCCCCGGCCTACCCATAACATATATACATATATACATAAGATGTATATAAAACTCTAGACCAGGCAACTCCGAAGGACGTGGAGCTTACCGATCAAGCTGAACTCGGGCAACACCTACTGAGGAGGTCTACCTGTCTATCTATCTGAACCTGCACGCATGAAATGCACCACCCCCAAAAAAGGGACGTCATACGAAATAACGTACCGAGTATGTAAGGCAATAAAATAATTGAAAGCTGAAACTGAACTGATAGTATGATAACTGAAAGTAACTGGGAGTCAAAGACGATCTGGAAATATACTTACCTGCTGATACTGACTCAACTCTCTCAATATAGTAAGTAAAATAAATGTCCGGCCCTATAAGGCTCGGAACGTGTAACTGCTCCGCCATAGTAGGCTCGCTCATAGGTGCTCGGCCATACTAGGCTTTGTATCTCGGCCATTCTACGCTCGCTCATAGGATCTCGGCCAGAGTAGGCTCGGTATATAACTTACCATCTTATCAGAGGTTGCCCAATAGGGGCCTACCCATCGATTATAGCTCTTTTACACCCCATGTTTTCGTACGTAAAAGTACGCCATAAGTAAATTGATGGGAGCTCGGAAATGAGATATTACATCCCGTATTTTTGTATGTTAACGTTTCGTCGTAAGTTAATCGACGTAAGTTTGGGAATGTGATTATTTTTAGATTATAAGCATTATACTCTTTCAAACAAGTGATGAATAAATTCGTGAAGGTGAGAGGGTAAGCAAATCGAAGAAATTAAATTTCGTCGAAGTTTGACATTTTGGGATAAAATACGGCCCGAGCAAAAAAAAACCGGTATCTATGGACTAGTACCATACAAGGTACCACATGGGCATGATAGTAAGGTGTATAAGCTGTGTTAAAAGTGAGTAGTATTGTAAGTAATTTGAGATAATTCTTAATTATATGGATAATCGGGTAATTATTGATATTAGTGAGAGATTAACACTTAATTAAAGTGATTCTTGGTTAATTAATGGATAAGGATAACCATCAACATGGTAGCCTTGCATTAAGGAATGGTGAATCTTAAAGTCATGTAAAAGGTGGCAAATTTGGAGAGTAGTAACATTATGACTACTTCATGACCCTTCTGACTTCTAATTAGTTTGAAGGTTTGTTAGTAATTTATCCTCTTGCTTACTATAATTGTAAAGATAAGAGATGGTCATATATAATTTAAGAAGGAAATTCTTAGGATTTCTAAAAGGGACTCAAGGTAATTCTTATAAACCCCTACAAGTGCAATATGAATTTCAAATTCTAAGGGAGCATGGTGCAACCTTTCTCAAGAATATCATGCGGATTTTCCCCTACTTCGTCTCGCCATTACGAGTTTTGTCGCAATTGACGTGTGTTAAAGGGATTATCAAGAGAATCGACTCAGGTATGTTAAGGCTATCCGTTCTTTCTTTTGGCATGATCTATACGACACAAACGAAACGAGCAAATGCCTAATTTCCATACATGACTCTATTCATAGAAATACCAGAGATGCATATGTTCTTGATTCCCCATGTGTCATATTATTCTATCATCTATTCATGAGTCTCAGAGAAATACGTAAGTTGAAAAAAGTTTACTTCATGATGTTAATCAAAGGCATAATGGTCTTATGACACTCCGAAAGATTTTATTGACATACTTCTCATGCATTGCATTCATTTACATTGACCCTTGACCAGATGGCATTATATACGCGTATATATGTGTGTGTGTGTGTGTGTGTGTGTGTGTGTGTGTGTGTGTATATATATATATATATATATATATATATATATATATATATATATACACTTTCAAAATAGTACATATGCAGTTATAAGCATGTATAAGTATTTTTATAATTTTTCTATAATTTTAAAAGCTCCAAATCAATTTAATTCTCCTCTTTTTATTATATAAATATCCAATAATTATCCTTCAAATTACTTTTGTGATGATTTAGCCATCCAAATTCACTATTTATGCCAACATAGTGTTTAACTGTTTTTATGTATTTTTCATAATTATATTTACATTTTTAAGCTAAATTGCACATCTTTGCAGTAATAGCCCTTACTAATGTATAATTCATTAATAATGCATAAAATGGTCTTTTATATTTTTAAAATGTTAAATAACTATTTAAAATTATTTTAGTACCCAAAGATATTTTTCGTACTCATTTATTATTTTTTATAAATTATTTAGTTATTAAAAGTGGCTATTTAAAATCTGACCTTAATTTTGACCCAATACCCAGCCCAATCTCAACCTAAACCTACCCTAGGCCCAATACCCATCCGCCTGACCCAATACCCGGCCAAATCCTGATGATCAACGGTCTGGATTCATCCTTTCCTAAATTAAACTAAACGACCCCACCCCACCCCCACCCCCCAAACCCTCTCATTTCTCACCACAAGCCACCCTGAAATCCCTTTCCTCTCTCAAATGCTCAAACCTAAACCCAATCGGACCTCGTCGTCACTCATCTATGGTGGTTTCTCACCACCCCCCCAGGCCTCTAATGGCCTCTCTTGTACTAGTATCACCATCTCCAGGGTCCTCGAGGGACCAGGGTTATTTTTCTTGCATCTATGGGCTATTTCAGGCTGTCTCGGTTTGATTTCGAGTGAGATCTTCCTATATCTATGGGTTTCTAGGCTTGCTTCTTCACCTCTATATTGTTCTTCTCGAAACCCTTATTTCTTCTAAACTTCTTAGATATGTAAAGATCTATGATGTTTGGACCTATTTGATATGATTTTTACAAATAACCTTCTCATTTTTACAAGGATCTTCTAATTTTCGAATGGTTTTCCATTTTTCTAAACTAGGGTTTCTGAAAATTTCTTTTTCAAAAATGTTTGATAGTTTTGAGTGTTTGATCATCTACTTCTTATGTGTCTTGACTGATTTCGTAAGGTTTGCTTTAACCTTAACTTGTTTATACTAAAAGCCCTAATTTTTTCGACATTCTTTGTTCGATTTCTGAGCACTTGTGTACTGACTTTGTTCTGGCTTTGGTTCTTGTGATTTTTCTTTAGCCATTTAGATATCTCGTGGTTTTCTTATCCTAATATCCTCTACTGAGTTTCTTAGGTCAAATTTCTACTGATTCTATATGTTTATGTTCATTTTGACTATTCATGTTAAGACTATATTTTTCTCCTTAAATCAGTGTCGTTTTCTTGATTTACCTATTTGTTTCGTTAAAGTTATGTGTTGAATCCTGACTATTCATTTGTTTCCTTATTTTGTCTGCGAGACTTGCTGAATCTTTACGTGATTTTCTGTTTGATTGAACCCTTGACTATTCTGAAGTTCTTATTTCCTAATTTGATTTGAACTCTTTTCCTTAACAAAACTTTTGATTCTTATTTCTCTACTCGGTTTGATTGAACTTCTTGCCTTAATTAGTTGTTCCCTTGCCTTATTTGTTTTCTGCTGATTCTTATTGATTGTTTCCTTAATTGAAACTTCTGTTAATTTACCCCTAATTACCTACTCTATACCCAAACGTTACTTGATTCTTTTCCTTAAATATCTATCATGCTTTTAC